TGTTGTCTTCAAGATCAAGTTATCATTAAGACTGAAAGCACATAAAGCCTCTTTCATTTCTCTGCAATTCGTTGTGGTCCTCTGGTTTTTGTCCTCTGAATGAGTGTGCTGTTGAAAAACAGTGTTGCCATCTAATTCACAGTCACTACCGTCTGGGGAGATGTGCCCGTTGGAAAACCAGTGAAAAAGGAAACATAAATTTTACTTCACTTTTGACAAAGCTTGGTTTTCTCGAAGTTGGTGATTGAATGAAAAAAAAACCGGATTATAGGCCTTCTTCCTTTTCCTTGGAAAGAATATGTATGAATAATCATGGGTTCTAATCTATCACAAACCTGTTATAACAACAAAAAAGAAGAAGGGGTTTTTATCAGAAGTTAGATATCAATTGTTGAATTTAAATAATAAAAAGAGCAGAAGAGCGAGAGTCAAATTCTTATCGTGAATGTGAAGTAAATTGTTTACTTCTAAAGTCACGAACTCAAAATGATATGCTAATAACATTCTCTCTTTTTCTCTTTTCATATTCACTCTTATTTTCTTACCTTATTTTATTTTTGAAAAAAGACATCAATATTTGACTCTTTTGAATTTGTTTTTCCTTTTCAGCTCTCTCAAATGAGTTGGAGTGTCAAAGAGTTGAAAATTTGTTGTGAAAAAACTGAATTCCTTTTACATCCTTTATATTTTTGTCCACCAAAAAAATCATTACATTTAGCAAATAAAACACCATTAATATTTTTTATTATTGAAATTAGGACATTAAAAGTCTCTTTATCTTGTTTCCATTAAAAAAACAGAAAAGAAAATGAAAGTCTCTTTATTAGTATAATAATTTAATCCAACAAACCCAACCCACCTGAGTTACGGGCCTTGCCCATATGTCCTTGCTCGATTTCCCCAATTATTTTTCAGCAGAAAAGCCCTAAACCCTCTGCAGTGGCAGAGTCACACCCCAAAACCCAGAATTATCTTCTGCACGACATCGTCGACATCAGAACCTCACTTCTCATTGTTCAGGTATCATCTGCTATCTATCATTGCCATTATTTCTTCTTCTTCTTTTTTCATTCGTGAAATTTGTTGAATAATATTGTTTACTCTGTGAATCTTTGAGGGAAAATGAAGAGGCTTTCTTTAGCCTAAGCCAAAATCATGAACTGGGTCTTGCCCTTAGGAATGAAATTGCTTGAATCTCATAGCTTTTTAAATTTTTCCCTTGGAAACCGAAGTTTTTTTTTAATTGGGTCCAGGCTTGGTTAGAACTTTGAATGTTATCAGTAATTTGATTGGCAGTACGTAGTGCCATGAATCAAAAATCAAATCAATAGGCCAAGTTTACTTGCTTGTGGGGATGAGCTGAAGGTGTTTGTGTATTTGTCTGTTTGAGTGATACAGGTTATGCCCGAGCAGAGAGTTACGTTGAACTTATTGTGGAATTGTTTTAGCTAAAGAATTAGTATGAAGACAAGTATATTGCAATCATATGTCTTTTTCCTACTCCCATAGGATTTATATGGTAAATTGAGTGAATTTGTTAAAACTTAGGATTTATTTATACATTCATTAGTTTGTTATGTCATAGAAAAGCTACGCTGCTAATATTCTCTTAGAATCTAACATAACTTGACTGTATAGACAATGAGGTATAAAAACTTGTTGAATGTAGTTATGACTTGGTAATATTGTCTTCACCACAGTTTTCTTGGCCCTTTTTGAATAGGAAATGCCTCTCTCTCTCTCTCTCTCGCTGATATCTTTGTTGATTATATAGCATGTATTTATGGTTTCAAGCATGTTTTATAATTGGTTTTAATTTAATTTGTTGTTAGAAGAAGTGAAGAAATGGCATTGGGACTAATACTAGGGTTAGGAAGGGCATTTCGTCGAAAGCGCACATCATCCCTTGACATTCTTTCCTCCAAACGTGCCCCAAGGGATTACTACAAGGGGAAGAATTGCAAGCCCATTGGTTTCCACACCCGAAAAGGTTTGCCCTATTTCCATTTTTGCAATTTTGACAAGGGGCTCAATCAAATTTTTTAAGGATAGGAATTACTACTTGACATGTTATCCAAATTGCCCAAATTTTTTGCAGCTAAGTATGTCGTGCAGCAGGAGAAATTACCTAACTACGTAGTCCCTGATTTAACTGACTTCAAGGTGAACATATTTCTTTGTTTCTTTCTTCTTCATTCTTTTGTTGCATTTAGCATTTATAGTTTTTATCTGTAAATTAGAGGTTCCAAATGGAAATTGGAAGATGCATGCTGCGGCTCTGCTATCGCACACTTCAAACTATTCTTACTTAAATTGATGCATTTGAAGTTTTAACTAAGCAAACTACTCCTCATTCTTACAAGCAGACATGTAGTTCTGAATTACTTTTCCCCTTATTGCTACAGCTCAAACCGTATGTATCCCAGTGCCCCAGAGAGGTCAAGACTAGTGAGTCTGCTGAATCAATTAAATAACCAGGCTGAGCGACAAGCATCTGATCTGTTCGTTTATTGTTGTAATTGCGAATTAAGTTCGTGGTCATATATTTTTGAGTAGGATGTAAGACTGAGTTGGTGAGGTTCTTGTTTGGCAGTTTCATACCTTGAACTGTGAGTTAGGATGGAAGACTGTAAGTTGATGATAAACCTTTCTTTTTAGTTTAAGCATTGCTTTATATTGACTCAACTAATAACCATAACTTCATCGGATTGGCTTGCAGAATATATACTCGAGTATCATTTGAATTAATATTAACTATTGAAATTTTCCTCTACAGCTTAATTCGAAGGTACATCACTAGAGACACCTATAAATACTAGCACAAAAAAAGTTAAAAACAATTTGCTAGTGCCTGAAGTGGCGTGCCCTGTTGCATAAAGGTGAGCTGTAGCCAAGTCCATATATTTATGAACATGAAAGCAGCACTCCGGTGGACTGGGGGTTTTAGAGGCCCAAAATGGTTTATTGGGGGTGGGTTTTTGTGCATGGGCTCTATTTTGTCCACCCCTATGGTGGTTGAGCCTTAGATACAAACCCTATTGGGGAGACCTTAAGAAAAGTTTTAGCCACCAGCCTCGAGAGAAAACCCTAAGGTGAGAAAAGTTTCAGCCACAGACGCCCCCATTCAGGGTCAGTGGCCTTCATCCCTTTACTACTCCCCCTTACTGTCTTCTCTTCCATGAACGGATTCAGGATTTCAAAATGGGGTGAGCTAAAATTTACATTATGTAATTTATAAGATTCCAACAAGATTTCTAATGATTTATCTTAAAGTGAACATTCACGTTCACCAAGGGATTTTCACACCACTTATGTCGCAACCGATTCTTGCTTTATTGGGCCCAATGTCGCTCATTCTCTTTAACTTGTGTTTCCCATCGGACCTTCCACTTTTACTCTGCAATAAAACAAAAGGTTGGCCCAATGAACCATATATTTATAGTGCTATTTCAACCTCGATTGCTTGAATTTAGAGCAAATAGAAAGGATGACAGATAGAAATAATCAAATTCTGGGGCATGCGCATTAAGAAGAGCCCTTGCCAGTGCCAGATGCCAGCAAAGTGGTCATTTGGCTGAATAATAAATTGCAGGAATTCCAGGGACCAGCTGGGAGTGTAAAGGACAGACAAAATATACAAGTTTATTATTTCCCTAAACCCATGCCATGAGAGAGATGAGATGAGCCCTTTTGCTTGCATTGCGTGTTTATTTTTAAAAAAAAGGGGTGGATGAAGAAGAGGCACATGAGGTTGGTTTTCCTGGCTGGAAGGAATCCAATCCCACTGTCAAAGGACCTGGTTTTCCGCGTGCTATTTAATGGAAGAAAAATCACTGTCATCAGATTGGTAGACCAAAAGCTGATGCCCTCGCCAACACACCAAACCTTGGTTGTTTGACCATTTTGGCATGCAAAGTTCACACTGTTCATATTCATTCCAGGCCCACTTTTTCAATATTATTGTCATTATCTCTAGTCTCTCAACTCTCAACCAATATGCACATGTTATATTATTTTCTGAGCAACAGCTAAGCTAGTTTCTTTTCTTTTTTTGGGGTCAGTCTGCTAAGCTGGTTTCTAGTGCTGCGTTTCCACTTGGGACTGAAGTGGACATGTAAAAAGGGATCAAAGAACCTTTGCTAGTAGCTACTATTAGATAGGCAATGTTTTTAGTAAAAACGATTGGGGATGGGATTTACATAAATATTTATCGAGTGTCTTTAAATATTTCGAACATCTGGCTACATAAATGGAGTTGGAATAGCTCACAAAACTTGCTCAAGTTACACCTTTTAATTTTACCACAAGAAAATAGAAAACAAAACCCAACCAAGTGACCAACTAACCACTGTTGTTGTGTTGATCACATTTTTAATGGGATTTTTCTTTCTTTTATTCTTTGTGAAATTACATACAACAACCACCGCATTTAGAACCCATGTTTAGTCTTTAGGGATCACCAACCAACCAATAAGATTAATTATAAATTACTAGCAGTTATTTATTTACTTGTACTATTACTACTAATCTTTTTTCCATATACATTTCCAACATTATCATTTTGTCAATGACACGTGTTTTGACAATTGAGTAACAAACACGAATTTTGCAATGGAAAAAATAAATTGTAAACAATGTATACGTCATGACCAACGTCCTTTTAATATACTTTCCGCACATTCCCTACATCGAAACGTCGTCGTCTCATACTTTGATCCCGTCCACGCTCGCGCTTTATCCTTTTTCCACGCCGCCCCCCATCCCGCGAAAGCTTGGAAATTTCCCCTCTTTATTTTTTATCCCCAGTGGCCATTTCCACACACAGTTATCCTCCGCGCAAGCATCACAGCCACCGACTTCCAATCCCAAGTGGACCCCACACGCCCTCCCATCAAATCACAGCCCTCCACTTGTTCCTCCATATCCAACATTTTTTCAAATTCTCTGACTCGTCAAAAAAAGGTATTTTAAAGAAAACCCAAAGAAGCTCGCATGAACTAACATGGAAACACACCAACCATAATATCTCTCTATATATTTTGACACAAACAATCCCACACAGCAGCTCACATGACCAAAAATGGAGAAGCTGAGGAGATCATCCAAAAAAAGCAAGCCCGATATTGCCCGGTGCAAGAAGCACCCAAAGCACCAACAATCGCCCGGCGTTTGCAGCTTGTGCTTGAGAGAAAAGCTTGAACGGCTTGCTCAAAAGCTGTCAACTTATTCTGGCTCGCCACTTCTACTACGTAGAACCTTGTCTATCACCTCTCCTTCGACGACGTCGTCTTTATCTTCGCATTACTCATCCTCTTCGGGTTCTTCTTTGTCGTCTCCGGCACCGGGATATGAGCAAAAGGGCCCCATTTCTTGGTTTCTGAGTGGTGACAATAATGTGCTCACTAAAAGTAGGTCGCTGGTTAATTATAGTTGCTTCGTCCCAGAAGTAAGCGGAGGGAAGAGAGTTTGGTGCATTCTAGGACTGTGAGAGAGATCAGGGCGCCTAATCGGGTGTTTTGAAGGCCAAGTTGTTAATATTTTTATTCTTTATTATTTTTTGGGATTGTTCTTGATATAGATTAGAGTGTACGTAGCAGATTTCTGATCACAATTTTACATCAGAAAGCTGACAAAAGGAAATTAAAGATTTGTACTTTTTGTGTAATACCAGTGTTTTTGTACAACAATATATCGTGCGCTGCAATCATACATACAGGTCATTTGAATCCAACTACAGGACATTAACAGTGCTTCAATTTTTATCGAAACTCTATTGTTTAGGTTTAGGATTTAAGATTTAATTCACATAATAAACATTGTCTTTGTACTTGTTTTTGTTTATCTTATCAATAAAATATTATCATTCTTTTATCCCAAAAAATAAATAACAGAAAAACAGAAAACAACTTAAATTTCAAACAGTTGGAGGTTTGGGATGTTCGTTTAACATTTATATATAGTAACGTTCTCTTGACAAATTTGTGTTGTGAGACGGAAGTTTATGGTGTCAAAAATTATGAACATGAATCATATATACGTTCGAATGAGAATCAACTTGGTCAATGTTAATATTCACAGGACTTGCAACATAAACATCTTGTTAGGCACACAATCTGGCAAAGGATCATTTTTGTATAATATTATATCACTTTAATTTTGTATTGATACAAGTATTTTAGATCTGATTCTCCATAATATTTCTATTTTGTTGTTATGCAGTTCATATCGAAGTTGGTGAATATTGTGTTGTGTCTGCAGCGTAATAATAAGACAAATTTCATATGTAACAACAAAGAAACAAACTGGCATGACTTTGGTTGTTAGTTCACAGAAACTCCATCCAAGAAATTTCCTGAGGTTATAAATTCAACAGTCAGCTGCCCACGGTCTTTACTCTATAGGGTTGATTTGATCCATACTTTCCTTCTCCTTTAATAAAAAAACACAAATGGAAAAGCCTTTGCGAGTAAAACATGACCTGCGGCGGTCCAAATTCGTGGCAATTTCCAAATTCCACAGTGGGTTGTAAAGTTCAAATTGTTAAGCTGGCAGCAAGAGGACATTATTCTTATTAGTACTCTTACCACTATGCAATTTCCACAAGATTTCAAAATACTTGTACTGTTAATTGCATATTAAAAAGAATATGTGGCCAACGGGGTATACTTCAATGAAAAATGGTCTTGACTTGCATATAAATATCAAAGATCTCGGGTTCAAACCCTCCTGACATCTTAGTTTTGTGTGGGTGTGTTAGAAATTGATAGTTTATTTTAATTTTCTTCTGTTGTTTTTTATTTGAGGATTTTTTTTGTCTTGGTCAAAACTCGGGAAAATTATTCAAGGCAGATATAGAGTATGTATTAATGTAGACTTTGTATAACACCAATAAAAAAAATCGAATAAAGCAAACCATATTTTCATCTTCTGTCACATAACTGATCAATTTAAAAAACGAAGAAAGAACGCAGAAAGTAGAAAGAGAGAGAAGCCCCAACAAGGAAACATGGTGACCCTAATGATGGAGCAGATAAACTAACCCATTATATACCACATGAATAAGAAAATGGATTTCCTTCCTTTTGCCATCTTTTTCCTTGAAAAAGCCAAATAGTAATGATATAATATAATACTAGCCCTTTGGCACACGTGTGATTGATTTTTTTTTTTTTTTTTTTTAAGAATTAAGAAAATATAATATAGGTAGTTATGTTCCATAAAAGTATGTCCTATTATTTGATTTTATTTTAAATTGTAAATTTAAATTGTTTTAATATGAAAATATGAATTTACCATATTATTCTCATTTAATTAATAATTTTAATTCTTAATGTTTGAATTGACTAAGGCATTTTCTTATATTTTGAATGTTTCACCATTCTCTGCCTTTTGCTTTATATATATATATATATATATATATGTATATATGTATATAAAAACGCTCAAGTCTTACTATGTTAAATACTTAATTGGACCTATTCTACTAAGCAAGCTAATGATCCGAACTATTCATGAATTATTTATGCAAAGTTTCATCCAAATCAGAAATTATTTAAACATTTGATTATGACCGTGGAAATTTCATTGTATATCAAATAAATTGTGTTCTTCTATTTATTTAGTTACATCTAAATAATTAAAAACTTTCCAATTTGAGTAAATTTTTGCAAGAATAATCTTTTTAATGAGGACCTAAAAATGATCGGTCATGGAAAACATTACGTAGTGAATCCAAACTAGTGGTTATTAACTACTTATCGCTATGTACCATCCAGTATTCCATCATCATCCACGGTAGATTTTGTCTGTTGTTTTTTTATCAATATCTCTGATATTGTTATCATGTAGGAGGATGCATGCAGTCAAGACACTGTATATATCGTCTGAGGTTGATGAATCTACGATTCTAGTATGTATTCTGGTGGGCGGCTGGCTGGTTGTTCTATTGTTGCTTCTAATTTCAGTTGATAGTTTTGAAGTGAAAAAATGCTCCTTCATTTGATTCTGTGACAGCGGAAGTACAGTGCTAGATGAATAGTTGTTGCTTGAGGTGGTCTTATGGTGAAAGCCCATTGGATCCGCGATAATTCATTTTAATTCTTGAACAGTTTGATAGATGATTAGGCCCATCAACTGTGGGCAATAACCTGCCTAATTGCCTTTCAAATTCATTAAGAGCAAGTCCAGCGCAGGATTTGGCCCGGGGGAAAGGCTGCCCGACGCAGCCCGAGTTTGCTCCAGCGCAGGGCCCGTAGCCCAGTTTGGTGGAGGGTCCCACGAGCCCGAGGAA